GTCTCAATTTTTGTCACCTGTGATAAAGCGTTCAATATTATTAGAGATATTTATAAATGTTACAGTCGCTCTTCTGCTGCAAGTTTGAATCAAACAAAATCCCAAGGTTTGTGGGTTGGTTCATGGGTAAATAGAACCGACAGACCTCTGGACTTTAAGTGGAATAATAAAGGCCTCAAGCTCCTCGGAGTTCACATGGGAAACTCGCACAGTTGTTTTCAACAAAACTGGCAAATTTGTCGTGACAAATTACAGAAAGTCCTAGCCCGTTGGAAAGGCTTATCGAGGCTGCTTTCGTTCAGGGGCAGAGCCCTAGCAGCAAATCAGCTTGCGACTTCCAAACTACTTCATGTTCTTGCTGTTCTCTCCCCACCTCAAGATATTCTGAGTGAACTCCAGAGGAACTTGGTTAATTTTATTTGGTCTGATGGACGACATTGGCTAAAGGAGACAATTTTGTACCAATCCCCTGAAAAAGGTGGTTTGGGCCTAACCTGTCTTCAGTCACGAATACTCACCTTTCGTTACACCTTCTTACAAAGATTTTTCAAGAATTCGCCTCATCCTGCTTTCTCGTTAATGAGCTATTTCCTACGCCAATATTGTAAGCTGAATTTTGACGCTCAGATTTTTCTCATTAATCTCGATGCCAAGTTTTTCGTCCATCTACCCACATTTTACAGTAACGTTTTGCAAGCCTGGAATCTTTCGAGAGCCCAAATTATCATACCACCTGATTATATTCAGTTTGTGTTGAATTTACCATTAAACTCTGTTTATTTAGTTAAATTTGCCGGTATTGATAACCAGCTCCTTTGGCCTCGTCTTCGCGTGCGTGGAATTCGCACAGTCGCGGACCTACTAGACCTCTCATCCGGGAAGTGGAAAGGACTGGAAGCTCTCCATTCCGACAACTCTATACGAAGGTACTCAAGCAGAACTCTTCATTCGGAACTCATGGATGCGAGAGAACTCCTCATACGTGTCTTTCCGAAATTCTTCAACCGCTCCAGATACCGTCTCTCCACACGTAACCTACAGAACATTCCAGCCTTCTTGGAACTTCCTCTCGCTATCCATTTCCCTCCAGACGTTGATGCTTCAAGTGCATCCTCAAAATTCATCTATAAAACTCTCAACGCAGAACTCAACTCTTTGAAGAATCCAATTCAAACTTACTGGCACAAACATAACATCATTCCGGAGAATCGAAGGATTCAATGGAAGGAGATATATCATCTTCCATCTTCGAAGAAGGAGGGCGATATTCAATTTAGACTACTACACAACATTTTACCCAGTTTACCGGTTCTCCAACATATAAATCCGGACATTTCGCCGCTTTGTCAGTGGTGCGGTGAAAGAGGAACAATTCTACACTTATTCATCCAATGTCGCGCTATCCAGCAAGCACTCAACTTTCTCAACTGCCTTCTGAGCCGTCTGTTCCCGGACCTCATCCAAGATTTTGATCTCTACTGGTGTCTGCTTCCTCACGGGAGAGGACGGCCAAAGGAGATGGTCAATCTGGCAAATTACTTCATTATCAGCCTGAAAGCTACCATATACTACCTCTACTTACGTTCGTCCTCTACCGATCTCCTCACTGTGTGGAAACATCGAATGAAAAGTAAAATATTGATCGATTTTCACTATTTCTCAGCCAAAAACAACACTAGCTTGTTTCAATACAAATGGGATCACAACAACGCATTGTTCACTATGATTAACCAAAAATTAATCTGGCTGATATGAAACTTTTTTGATACTGATTTTTTTTTCTTTTGAAACATGGTGATTTCCGCTACTTCCCTGCGGGGATGAAAGTGGTTAACAAATAGCTTTTGATTTTCGGGTTTCTTTTGTTTTGTATGATTTTTTTTTGATTGTTTGTTCGGTGAATTCAACAATATTTGTTCAATGAAGTTTGCATTCATCCATGAATGCTGTGAATTACTACGTTCCAATTTTTTTTAGTTTATTCTTTGTATATACATACTTTGTTTAATCCTTTTGAACCATGTTTAATTTTAGGTGGACTTGGTTTGTGATTTGATTTGAATTAAAGGTTCAATTGGAAAAGTGAAAAAAGTGTTTGTTTGTTTGTTCGTTTGTTGGGCTGTAAGAGTATTTATTTATTAGTTCGTTTTTATATTTTTGTATCTGTCTGGTTTGTCTAATGTTTCACTCTATGATTTTTTTGCTGAGTCTTGTCTCATCTCCCCGTCTTGTCTCGTCTCGTCATGTCTCGTCTTGTCTCGTCTCGTGTGGTTTCATATGATTTGTACAATTTACTTTTCAATAGTACTTTAATTGTTATGAATGGAATTTTAAATCTGTTTTATTGGCAGGGGTTTGGATAATCGTCTGATGACAATAGTTTTTCTTTTACTTTTACATATCCGTGGCAGCCTGTCCAACTTTTAGCTTTTATTTTATGTTTTAAGATTTAAAATAAAATAATTGAATCAAATAAATCAAATAAAGTTTCTTCAAGTCTTTATTACGCTGGAGATTTCCCGATCGCAGTACGTATGAGAGGCAGCCCAAATAGGCGCGACCTAATCCGGCCAAATTACGATTTGTATACTAGTTTATCTGTAATAATAAAGAATTTTGACCCCTGCACTTGAGGGGCTGTATTTGTAGAAGGCGATGGGGTGATCATCGTTGGAGGGAAAAAATCACCCAGAAGTCATAGGTCATCCCCCCTATAGAACTAAAAAAAAAAAATTGGACCCAATTCTGGGTCTTGAACCACTGTGGCGCCGGTACGTGGATTGTTTACTTTCGTTTTGACGGGGACTTTACTGAATAAGCCTTTTCAGAGTTCCAACTGCGCGCATTCGTAACCTGTGACAACGCTCATTGTTTGTCTGAAATGCCCACAATGCACAAACAGCCTTTTTGTAAAGTCAGTGGCACGATGATGTCAAAGGCCATTTTGAGACAATGCGTGTTGTCACAGGCTATGAATGCGCAGTTTGAACTCTGCGTGACTGTACATAGAAATTTCTTTGAATAACAGTCGAATCGTTCATTCACGTGCACTAGGGGGCAGTGGTTCAAGGATATCTATGTCGACTTGCAGCAAGTGTGCAAGAACGCGACCTGAATGCTTTTATGTGTTCACAATACAACGACGCTGTTTAGTTATTTCACTGTGTGACACAGTGAGACATTTTGGAATCATAATGGCGTCAGCGATACTTGCTGGGGATCACTTGCGTACGACTTTCTGTACTTTGGTACTGTTATCTCCAGGACAATTGTGTGTACGGTAACCCGACGTACCGAGATTTTTAACGACGAAATTGCCGACCTCAAACTTGTTAGTGCCATATTTGGCAACTATGATGTGCGTTATTAGTTTAATTAAACAAATGAACAGGTTAATCCCTTATTTGCTGCCCTCAAGATTTTACGATTTAATGATCTTTATTACCTAAATTTAGGTAAATTCATGTATAAATATTCAAATAATTTACTCCCATATTGTTTCAACAATTTCTTTACTTTCACCTCGAATATTCATTCATATAATACTAGAAGCGTTTCAAAGCAAAACCTTTACGTTTATTCCAGTAGAACGTCAATGTTGAAAAACGGCCTTGTCCACCGGGGCATTGACCTTTGGAACAGGCTGAGTGGTTCAGTTAAATTATCGTTAACTTTATCTACATTCATCAAAAAAATGAAAACTCAATTGCTTAACTCTTATAATGTCTGATGAATAATTATTTTTACTCCTGTTTTTTTTGTTTGTTTTGTTATGTTCCTGTTTTGTCCCTGCGTTTTTGTCCCTATTCGCAACTTGTATGGTAAAAGTAGGTATTTGTCCACAGGATGTTTCACTCTATACCTAACGTTGTTCCAGTATGTATGTTGTTGATTTATGATAACTGTTGGTTTGAATTCATTTTATATCCAATTATAATACATTAATTTTGTGTATTAATGAACAACGTTGAATAAATGTCCAGCAAAAAAAAATTGAATTGAATTAAACATAGTACCATTGAAGGCACCTAAAAGTAAACAAAACAGCATATAAGACCGACAGACGAACATAAAATGTTACAAAATAAACATATTTGTCTGGATATTTTTTAGGGCGTTACCGGCAAGTTAACACAAACTTGGTGTGAAACAGATCATGGGAATTACTTTTCTTTGACTTTACATACACGTTTACATAAACTTTAACTGTATGACCTGCAGTGGCGTAGCCACAGGGGAGCGTGGGGGGGGGGGGGGGCGACAGCCCCCCATGAAACCTTGTCGCCCCCCAGTCGCCCCCCCCCCCCCCCACTGAGATTTTGAGTTTCTAGCAAAAAATATAATTGATCTACACATGACGCCCCCCCCCATGAAATGTTCCAGCCCCCCCCCCCCCAAGTGCTGGACTACGTGTGCCAAGTGTAAAGGCAGTCGAATGTATGATTCGCAGAATATGTAAATGAGCCTTCTATATGAAAGCCAGGAACTAATTCATGTACCTAATATCGGTGAGAACATTTAAAATGTCTGTCAGAGGGAACAATATTTGATAGATGAGCTCTTTACGAAATTGGCCTATGGCATGCATGGAATGGAGTCACGCTGATGAGGCTTGTAGACGTCTTGTGTCTGGAGTCGATTTTGGGCGTAGGGATCCTCTTATGGTAAGTATGTCTGGATTCAAACCAAATGCCAATTAACTACGTGGATCTGGTGAGCACTGAAATCTGCTATACGCAGCAATGACTTGCTACACGAAACGTTATACGAGCCTAAAAAGTCATTCAATGAATATTTTCGCAATTATGACCGTGTTCTTAGAAAAACAGATTTTCAGAAAATTTCATGAAATGAATACAGCATCATTATTATGACTAGTTCTCATGTAATTCTGCTTGGAAGCCACATGAAATTGGATCCAGAAAACATCAGCCAATGAGAAAATGAAACGTCATTGATCAGCCAACACAAAGAAACATTTCATTGGCAATGACATCACTGCCTTCGTCACTGATCATTCAGGTGAACATCTTGTCGTGTGGCCTCCACGCTGTGCTTCATGCCGTACGTAAAGTACACGATGAGTCCTGTCAGGAGAAAACAGACAAGTCGATTCAGAAAACAAATGAAGTGCGAATTTAACCACGTATTAAGGACATTTCAACTGGTGGGGATTTGTACGAAATCTTATGCTAATACCTAAATAATCATTTGTGAGTGCGTCACTAATTTAAGTTCTTTCACTGCAAGAACCAAAACAAAATATATAGGGTGACAACCTTGAGCAGAACTTCCATCTTGATGAAATAGTACACGTCGATAGCGGACATATTGGATTCACAGAATCATTTAACATATGTTGGTCTTCTTTGACTTACTGAACACGTGGCTACACGCGATATTAATCGGTCGCCATTGTAATCAAGAATACGTCGCTAAACGTTTCGTCAGAAACAGTTACTAAAACTAATTTCATGACGATTGTGGGTACAGGTTGGTTTGTTTTGGGGTGGGCGGTCGTCCATATTTTCTTTGTTTCTGACGGAAATGTAATGATCTGTCAATGTTCTGACATGTTATGATCTTTTGTGAAGCTTTTCGCCTTGGATTAATTTAACATAGCTCAAAATACATTCGAACAAGGAGCAATAGCATCTCAGCGGGAAAAAAACTAGCTGCACATGCCTTCGAGTCTTGTGCGTATTTTCCCCTTCCCGCTTATATCCTGCATGGGCAGCACATAATGTGATATTATTTACCTAAACACAACCAAACGACGACTCCTACATAGACCAAGGAATTAAAGTGTAGCAACAGAATGACAGCAGCAAGCAAAGCAATCAGCGGTAGCAAGGGCATCAGTGGTACCTGTATCAACAAAAAGTCCAGAATATTTGGGTTATTTTTATTTCAAAACTCAAAGTACTGCGCATTCGCCAATTCGAAATTAATAGTACGTTTAACCATTTAGTTTGTTATGACCAACAAAATCACAGGAATTAGAAACTTGGAAATGCTGAAAATGTTGCGCTAATCGAATAAATAACTGATTTAGAGTGCGACCGGTGCTCAGGGTGTTCAGGGGGCGCAGGTTCAGGTCCCGCTTACGACAATTTTTTTTATTGAACAACATAAACGTAAAATGATTATATCTGTCTTTGAATTCATCAAAATATCGCAAACGGCCCATCAGGGAAACACAATTTGCTTCAAAAAAAAGTTGTACATAAGGAAGACAAGATATATTAGGGAGACATTTTAATGCTTTCCTGTCAGATGTATTAAAATTTCAACAGACACCATTGCTAAACGCCCATACTTCAAAATTGTTTTACAAATACTAAGAACTCTCACATGTATTTAAGTTGCACAGAAAAAAAATGATCAACATGTCATATTTCAGTTTCTTTTCATTTTTTGGTGGGTTGACCATTGCCTTTTCGAGAAATTAGCGCCACTTTCGAACACAATTGCATCAAAAATGCTCAGAATTGAAAGCCCTAAGTCCGGGCTAGAGGTTCATTGCCATCTCTTCAATTCCCCAATTTTATGGCTCTCAGAACTCTTTAATATGAAACATTTTGAGGGTATAACTTTTTATTCATGAGCTTGGCGGAGGGGTTGAGGCCTATTAACAGGTGTGCACCCAAATGTTCGGTTGATGGATCGGCCGGTTATTTAATATGAGAAAAGGCTTGCAGATATGGATTTTTCCCCATGGCTTCTTTGTATAACAACATGGTAAAATAAAGAATCGCTTCTGTTCGTGTATGTTTCAATATGCCGAACGTAAATGGCTTTTTGTTACTAAATTATTTTATTTGTTTTGAAATCTTACTTTGAATGGGAGGTCATCGGTGTATTGCGGTAGAAGTAACAGTGGACAGCACGAGACGAGAGTTAAAGCGCTGCTTACGACTATCCCGAGTATTAGACCTGGGTCATGGACTCGCAACAAGTCGTCCATTTTGAAGGTCAACAAGGCTACGAGAAGGAACTCAAAGATGAGGTGAAAGCAGAGTGAAAGAATCACGGATCTGGTTGTATGTTCTCTGATCCATCGAAGAATGATGGCACAGCCCTTGTGAATCCAAGATGGACGCTTTGGTAGCTCGTTTGTAGCGTTGGTTTCAGCAGTGTCAGTTTCTGGCTTAGGTTTAAGCAATCCCTTTAAATCTGTTGTAGTATTCTTGCGTCCATGAGCCTCGTTGGCACCCTCCTTGAAATCACCCTTGTCTACGCCGCCCAATTCTACGTACCCGCCACTCCGGTTAGGGGGTCTGTAACGCAAGATAGTCACCGCAAATATTATAATGACGGTCTCAAGTGTATATAGCATGGAGCCGGTCTGTATTAAAATCTTGATGTCAATTAATACGGCAAAAACAACAGAAATACATGTGCCAAGAAGGTTAGCTAGCAAGGGAGTCTTAGTTCTCTCGTTGGTCCTGGAGAGCACAGAAGGAAGAAGTCCATCTCTTGACATGGGATATATGAAACGAGTCATAGCGTAGGACATGTTTAGAGCACCTCCCGTTATGCTGCATAACGCACCTACTGCTACGATGTACTTCATCCAACGTAGACCATCAAGATCATTAAACGCTGCCTCAAACGGGGTTTTAAGATCGATGTTACTGTATTCTGTTAATACAGTGACTGAGAGGACTCCAGTCATGTAGACTAAGATACTGATTCCAAGAGCAGACAGAAGTCCTATCAAGAGATCCTTGGATTGGTCTTTTGCTTCCTCAGCTGCTAGGGCGATAGATTCGATCCCAGCATAACCTGCGTAAGCAATGATTGCACTTCCTACAATCTCATCAAATCCAACTCCCCTTGGTGCAAACCCATGCTCTGTTACGAGGGAGAAATCTGCATGAATCATGGCCACAATGAAAACCAACATCAGAGTCAGTAAAGTGGTTATCATGAATAAATTGTTAGCTTTGGAGAATACATTGGTACCTAAAGAAATAATACCACCAGACACAAGGATCAGCAATCCAGCGATAAAATCGGGATGGGTACCAAGAAGAGGTGCATTCCATTCCTGACCTCCAAGGACAAACTGGACGGTAGCATTTCCAATGGAGCCGCCTAAAGCATCGTCTAAATAGGCGCTCCATACCTGTCCTATGAAAGCAAGCGCAACGATTCGTGCTGCCACACTACTCCACCCAGTTAGGAACGCTATCATCTCTCCAAGTGTCGCATAGGCGTACAGGTAAGACGCTCCCGTTCCAGGTAGCTGTAAGGCACACTCTATGTAACACAGGCCAGACAGTGAAGCCAACATACCCGAGAGGAAGAAAACCAATAGAGCAGCCGGACTTGCGACTACTCCAGAAACTTGTCCCGGTAAAAGAAAACTACCAGATCCTATCATACTTCCGACACCAAGTAAAGTCAGGTCGACTACACCAAGGCATCGATGTAGAGGTGTTGGGATTGCGTCCCTCTGCACAGGTTTTCTTCGAGTTGAGGAGCTGAACATTTCTCTGAAGCACTGGAAAAGACCCATAGTTGATGGACAGTATACCACGTTAACCTGTTGTCAAAAATTAACCTGTTGTCAAAAAAATAACAGTGAATTTGAACATTATCGACATTTATAAATAACAACAAGACGATAAGCCTATAGCTGCTCCCACACACAATTCTATTCAGTTGAATCAGAAAAGAAGTATAACAATTCCAGTCCTGAGCCAAGATTACCTTTGATGATGAACCCCTTGTTTTTATTGGAACCCGATGCGGTATTTTGCTCCTATATCGCTCACGGTTTTTGACTAACTCTTGTCAGTTCTATGTACTCCGTACGCGTAGTGACCGTCTTTTTCATTATAATTACGTTCCTTGCTTGCTTGGTTAGTTTATGTGGTTTATTGCCCAATTGACAGATGCAACGTAATATCATTCATAGAAAATTGAGAACAGATCTCAAATGGGTAAAAAGATTTAGATAAATTGTATGGCTTGTTGCATGCCAATTGTCATTTGGCGTATGTTTTTATTATCTTCCATGCCAATGCACGTGCGTTTTTGCCTGTGTTTTAATTTGTTTCTGCGTGTGAACCGCGTACAGGTTCACCAAAAGAGCTCCAATTGAAGAGAGCCATAAGATAGTTACCTGTAACTGAATATTTACTAAATACCATAAAAATCCATCAGAAACATAAAGGCGCCGAAAACAAAACTGGCCCTAAAATTTCGGATAATTTGTTTTCAGTAACCATTTTCCAAAATGATATAAAGAGTTCTGATATGAAGGAGGAATATGATAACCAAGCCCCAAAACCCTTACAATGCGCCCTGAAAATGGCACATAATGCTTAGTTTGCATAATGGTACCCCCCCCCCCCCCCCCTCCCCCCCACTAGTTGATTTTACGGAGGCCAAGTGTCCGGTGCAAAAAACGTGTCGACATTTCAGCACGGATGAAGCAAGAGCCCCCTTTTTGGTGATCCCCCCCCCCCCCAGTTTGAAAACCGTTCCGCCGCCGATGCATATATCTATTGTTTACTACCATACGGCCACAATACGGCAGTTGTGAATAAACATTTGGTACCAGTGTATCATATCTGCCTAGGGTCCATCCACGTCATATGCCTGTTAAATTTACCTGTAGTGTTTGCTGTAACCCCGTGAAAAACAACCAAAATAGTATTTATTGTGATTGTTGTACTCTTTGGACTCACCTGAAATGTACTAGTCTCGATCTTATTGATCACTTTAATTTAGCCCAGGATGATGGAAATTGGTTTTGTCCCCAGTGTCTCAGCACTGCCCTCCCATTCAATTGGCTTGATTCTCATGAATTTGATTCAGTGATCACTGACTTGAATTCAAGTACAAATTATTCAATGAGCTTTGAGACCTTGATCGACCTTGATCTTGATTCACTTGAATTACCAATCGATGAAGATCCGGACAACCCTATTATCAGAAATTCGTGCTATTATTCACTTGATAATTTTATTAGACATTTTAATCATGACCCTACAGATAATTTCTCACTTTTGCATCTAAATATTCGAAGTTTAACTAAACACATTGATCAACTTAAGACTTTTCTCCATCCCTTAAATCATAATTTTTCTGTCATTGGATTGACTGAAACCTGGTTAAACGAAAGATCATGTATGAATCAATGTAATATACCTGGTTATTCGTTAATATGCAAAAACAGAGATGCTAGGATTGGTGGTGGGGTTGCAATGTACTTATCCACAGATTTACACTATATTCCCAGATCGGATTTGAATGATATAGGTAATGATTCTTTTGAATGTATATTTGCTGAGATTATTACTTCATGCAATACCAAGAACATAAGTATTGGAGTTGTTTACAAAGCCCCGAATGCCAACGCTGAAAATGTCTTAACATGTTCTCAAACCTTATTTAACCAACTTACTAATGCAAATAAACACTGTTTTATTACCGGTGACTTTAATTTAAATTTACTTAGTTCAGACAACAGTAGACAACCGCAAGAATTTCTGGATATAATTTACTCTTCTTCTTACTTACCATTAATCCACAAACCCACTAGGGTAACAACCACATCTGCCACACTCATTGACAACATCTTTTCAAACATCTTACCCCAACCAAAATCTGGAATTATTATCACTGATTTGTCTGATCATTTTCCAATATTTACATCTTTTCCATTTAAACTAAAACGCTTTAACCCCCAGCATATAACGACTCGTGATTATTCAAGTGAAAATCTCGCTAACTTTAAACATGAACTTTCCTCATGTGATTGGAGTTTAGTTTTAAATGCCAGGGAAGCGAATTCAGCCTTCAACAATTCTATAGATATATTTAATGGTGGTTTAGACAAACATATAACTTCTAAACCGTATAAATCTAAATCATCTAAATTAACTCCTAAGTGGATCACTGTCAGTTTATGCAAATCAATTTGCCACAAGAATAAGCTTTATCGTAGATACATTGCCAGTCCCTCCAATTTTAATCGTTCCAGGTACGTACGCTATAAGAATATACTTACTAACGTTCTTCGTATTGCTAAGCACAACTATTATAATAAACGGTTTCAAAAAGTTAAAGGTAATATTAAAAACACATGGAAAATTATCAATAGTGTAATTCATAATAAGCAGCAATCTAAAATAAATACCATTCATATTAATGGTGCTAACGTCAATAATCCTCAGTTTATTGCCGACCACTTTAACAATTACTTCATAAATATCGGGAAAAACCTTTCTAGTGTAATTAATTCTAGTGGCCTGAACTTTACTGATTACTTATCAAATCCAAACTCTAACTCTATTTTTTTATCTCCTGTTACAGAAGAAGAAATAGTTGATATTGTAAGTAATTTGCCCAACAAAACAAGTGCCGGCTTTGATCTAATTAGCAGTACATTGATTAAACAAGTGATTCTGGCAATCTCCTGTCCTCTGACCTTCATTATCAACTTTTCTATTTCAACTGGTGTTGTGCCTGAGAAAATGAAGATTGCTAGAATCACTCCCATTTTTAAAAGTGGCAATCCCACAATGGCAAGTAATTATCGACCAATTTCAGTTCTTTCTTCATTTTCTAAGATTATAGAACGTGTTGTTTATAAACGTACCATAGAATTCTTTGACAAACACTGTATAATTTCGGATAATCAATATGGATTTCGAGCACAACATTCCACTACACATGCTATTATTAAATTAATTGACAAAATAACAACTGGTTTAGACGCATCCTTTGCTACTATTGGTATCTTCCTGGACCTGTCCAAGGCCTTCGACACAGTTGATCATGACATCCTTTTATCTAAACTGGAACATTATGGAATCAGAGGAGTTGCCTTGGACTGGTTCAGGAGTTATCTTTCTAACCGTCAGCAATTTGTATCTATCAGTGGAACCCAGTCTACTTATTGTGAAATATCTTGTGGAGTCCCACAGGGTTCTATTTTGGGTCCCCTTTTATTCTCTATATACATTAATGGTTTTGATAAACCCTCAGATGTATTTTCTTTTATTCTTTTTGCTGATGATAGTAATTTATTCTATAGCCACAATGATGTAAATGTACTTTTTGATACGACTAATTATGAGTTGAAAAAAGTATCTGCCTGGATCAAAGCAAACAAGTTGCCTCTTAATATTAAAAAAAAACAACTATATGTTATTCAATAATAGGAAGTACTGTCAGCCGTTTCCAATCCGTATTGATGATACTAATATTATAAAAACGGATTGTTTTAAAGTTCCTAGGTTTGTATATTGATGACACTCTTTCTTGGAACAAACATATTAATCACATTTCTACTGTTATTTCTAGAAACATTGGTATTATATCCAAGCTAAAATGTACTTTTCCCCAATATATCTTAATAATGTTGTATAATACCCTTATTGTCCCTAATATTACATATGGAATTCTTGCATGGGGCAATAGTGGTACTGGTCAAATTAATAGAATCCTCAAATTACAGAAAAAAGTATTACGTATCATTAACAACGTTGACTTTCATGAGCATAGTAATCCACTTTTTTATAATTGCAATACTCTAAAAGTTCATGACATTTACTCTCTTCAGCTGGGCTCCTTCATGCATCAACTTAACACTAACAGTTTACTCAATTCGATTTGTTCTATGTTTTCAAAAAATTATGATACGCACCTTTATTTTACAAGACAGTTCAATGAATTTCATCGGTCTCACGCACGTACTGCAATCTCTAGGGCAACTGTAAAACATGAGGGTCCCAAGCTGTGGAGCTCGGTTGATTTTTCCCTAAAAAATATCTCCAGTCTCTCGCTCTTTAAGCACAAATACAAAAATAAATTATTGGAAAAATATTTAAGTACTTAATTGTTTGTTTGTTTTTTTGGTTTTCTTCAGGGGGTTGCAGCTGCATGTTATTCGAATATTCATGTCTGGTGTTGTGTCCTTATGTTTAGTTTGTGTGTGTAACTTGTAATATTTTTGTATGATTGTAACTGGGGATCTCTACTCGACAAGCATTGCTTTTTAGGGATCCCCATCCACATATTTTGTATACATTTAACTCTGGTCTTTTTTTTATGTGGAAAATAAAGTGAATTGAATTGAATTGAATTGAATCAAGGCGCCTTTGCACATTATGTTTTTTGAAGGATATTTTCATGCCGATAACTAGAATCATGTCCGTTCATGAATTTAATGTGTTCCAGATTATAAACTTCATAATCTAAAGTTAGAACCAAAAATAATGATGACTATATGTTCATAAGTAATTAATTAAGAACGAAATGATAGTCCATATGTATCAGTATATACAGCGAGAATGCATCGGTAGCCATACAGATAGTACGTCATAGTTTGTTATACATTGCCCATATCTTAATGTTGCCAAATTTATCAAGAAAAGAATTGTAATATTCGCATCAATCGCTCTTTGGGTAAGAAAGTAATTAATTAGTTCAAAATTAAAATATTAAAAAATAGCAAGAATTCCCATGATTACGTCATTCACGTAATTTCAAAATTAGTATGTTGAACAAGTACGTCCTAAGTCACTTGCCAAATGGATTTGAAGTTCTATTATGTATGTCGTTATGACCTCAACTTTAAAATGGTGTCACGCGAAAAAGGATGAATTTATAATAATATGTTTTTATAGACACCCTTCACATGGGGTTTGTGTCTGTGTTTGCATTGAGGCAGCACAGGGTCGCTTCTGGATATTATCCAAATTAAATCTCAACAGTCCAGACTGGGGTATAGTCTTCATATCAGGTGGATGATAGACAGGAGTGACTCAGATTCCTCTAGCAGCTATAACCCTTACATCTATACTTCTCTTCATGGTAGAAACATAACAAATTCGGCCCCTCTACGCATAAACCATCTATGCATAAACACATACTTTTTAATGATCAGAATGAAAAGACGACAAGGCGTTGACAAATTTTGATCGACATACGGATTTTTGGTTGTCATCGATTTGTCTACGCCTTCGGGACGTCAACTGGGAAAATTACTACTGAAGGTTAGTAAGAACTTTGTACGTACCTGTATTCAAGGAAAGCGTTCGCGCTTAGGTCACAGGACAACCGAAGTCCGCGATTTTAGAGAAAGGCCAACGCAAGACTTGAAGATGCACGCATTCGATAAAAAGATGCTTAGGGCCTATATGTTATGATCAGTCGTTTGTGCAGCTATGTGGTAGAGACACCTCTCTACATGGGTGATATAGCTTGGGCGCATGCGCGAAATATGGCTGCTGTAATGTGAACTTATTTTTTTGCGCGCCTGTGAAGGTCAATTTTTCCGCAATTGTTTCGTTTAAAAATTGTTTGATAAAAGTGCGCATGTAGTATTGAATATTAATACAGTAAATGAAATTTTAAGAGCTATTTCAGCTTCAAAATCTGGAAAATGTCGATGAGAAATGACGTATTTATAAGGTGTCATTTGTATTATTCAACTATTCTTTAAAAAAGAATACCAGTCGAATTTACTTCATATTGCAATCTTCCCAACAACAAGGTATACAAATGCATGTGTATAGTCGATGAACTAATAAAACCTGTAGTCTGGGCTTTAAACTTGCAAGTTCAGCATATTGTGTGAAAGTTAAAACTTGTAAATGTTGAGCTAGTTTTTGCTCCCATTCCGAGTCTACAGTTTGATTATGGGACTGGAATGAATCTTATTTTGTATTTTGTGTAAAAAGTGTACTGTTGTAGTTGGAGAGCCTCTGGATAAGCTACTTTTTATTTTATTTTGATTTGCTTTGTAGGCAGTCCTCCAGGCCTGCATATTGTACAGTTAATTATTTCTTGTATTTAAGTTTCTTGTATCTTTGCCTTTTGTAGTTTGTCATTTTGTCCATTTCCTTTGATGTGATTTGTAGTTTTATTGTAATGAATTTCAATATTGTACATTTAAATGTTATTTTGATGTTTCCTGAAATGTTATCTGATAAATAAATGCATAACTAAGAGAAATATTTTCAAAATGGATAATATTAACTATTGAACACCATTCCATTTTAAATTACATTTTTTAAACAAAATAAACCGATCAATGCATTTCAAGTCATAAAATGTAACAATGCGTTACATTTTATGACTTCTATTTTTAGTTCGTCTACATCGCCGGGTCGTCGTCTGCTACATAAAAAGTTCATCATTGTCTGCAGGAAGCCGTACAACGCATGCGCATTTGCTTTTAAGGTGTGGGGGGGGGGATTAATGCCCGTTGAGTCAACAGAACATCTTTACCCAAACGCCAAGCTTTTGCAGACCCACATTCAAGATCACACCACTGTGAAAAAAATGTTCGGAACAAAATAGGATTACACAAATATTTGGAAAGAATTCTAGTCCTTAATTCTTTTGACAATCGCACCTAAGCTTAGGAGGAGCACGCAAATTAATGCACTGCACAATATCAACGATCTGAATAACCGGTGACACAAAACAACTAAATGCAGAAATTCCTTAAATCGATTAGGTTCAGGAGTGTTTTGTTAAGATGTGGAAAAATAATAAATAACTTACTGTTGTTTACCCTGAATCACTGCACAACTGAGTCCACCAATATTCAATAATAATTCAAATTTTACAAACTGAACGCAAAAATAACACCACAAATAGGGGTCACAGAAAAGAGTATATAAACATACAAACCTTTCCTATATTAATTTGCTTAAAACTAAACGTGAAAGAAAACTACTACCATCATTAAAAGACAAACATTTGATAAGAAACCCAACACCTTTGTATTAGGTACAAACTGGCAAAACAGGTAAGTTTAGTAAGGAATGAAAAGAATGTAAACTAGATTTATGTTTGTGGACAAACACATGGCTGTTTCGGCATTTTGGTATTGCATGTTTACCATATGTCATGTTATAGACTGATTCTTGCAGCAGAGTGTATTTCTGAAGATAGCACACTGTTATGCAACATCAATATTTTGTCATTGACAAAAGGCATTTCAATATGTGGGACTTACATGTACAGGGTGTGACAAATGAAAGGAAACTCAAATGGCAGGAACCATCTTTGTAATGAAGTTCTGCATGTAGCTCTTTCAAAATCTAGGATAGTAAAGCGCAATTAATACGCTTTCTTTTAGTGCAAGTATCATTCAAGTCACTTTTGTACTTTTCAAGTTACGAAATTTTAAACACAAACACCGTTTTAAAGTTCTGTCCACAAATAACAAAAAAGGTAAGTAGTGTTCTTTCAGCAAAACGAAACAATTCACATTCATGCTTATGTTAATTGTTTTCGTTTTGCAAAAGAAGGAACACGTGTGATCCGTGGACAGAACTTTAAAACGGTGGTTGTGTTTAAAATTCCGTAATTTGAAAAGTACATGAGTGATTTAAATGATTATTGTACTAAAAGAAAGCTCATTAATTGGGCTTTTTCATCCTAGATATCCTCGAAAGGGCTATATGCAGAACGTCAATACAGAAGGGGTTTCTTTTTTTGGACTCACCCTGTATCCTATACATGTAGTTCTGTAGATATAGGCCTTTGAAAATGTCCCTTTAATGTGACGTCACATGACTTATAACATCATCATGACGTCATCATGACATCACTTCAGTTTTAATCTATAACACCTCCCGGTTTAGGTACACGACCAAGTTTCAACCCAATCGGACCTGTAGTTCTGTAGTATAGCTGATGTTTGGGAAATAAATCCGATTGTTTAAAATTTTGGATCCAGCTTGTCACAGACTCTCTTAATAAAGATTGTGCAGTGAACGCATTTCGGTGGAGTTTAGATATTGACTGAGCTTACATGTCGGGATTCGCAGAATATGTAAATGAGCCTTCTATATGAAAGCCAGGAACTAATTCATGTACCTAATATCGGTGAGAACATTTAAAATGTCTGTCAGAGGGAACAATATTTGATAGATGAGCTCTTTGCGAAATTGGTCTATGGCATGCATGGGATGGAGTCACGCTGATGAGGCTTGTAGACGTCTTGTGTCTGGAGTCGATTTTAGGCGTAGGGATCCTCTTATGGTAAGTACGTCTGGATTCAAACCAAATGCCAATTAACTACGTGGATCTGCTGGGCACAGAAATCTGCTATACGCAGCAATGACTTGCTACACGAAACGTTATACAAGCCTAAAAAGTCATTCAATGAATATTTCCGCAATAATGACCGTGTTCTTAGAAAAACAGATTTTCAGAAAATGTCATGAAATGAATACAGCATCATTATTTTGACTTGGTCTCATGTAATTCTGCTTGGAAGCCACATGAAATCGGATCCAGAAATCATCAGCTAATGAGAAAATGAAACGTCATTGATCAGTCAACACAAAGAAACATTTCATTGGCAATGACGTCACTGCCTTCGTCACTGATCATTCAGGTGAACATCTTGTCGTGTGGCCTCCACGCTTTGCTTCATGCCGTACGTAAAGTACACGATGAGTCCTGTAAGAAGAAAACAGACAAGTCGATTCAGAAAAGAAATGAAGTGCGAATTTAACCATGTATTAAGGACATTTCAACTGGTGGGGATTTGTACGAAATCTTATGTTAATACCTAAATAATCATTTGTGAGTGCGTCACTAATTTAAGTTCTTTCACTGCAAGAACCCAAACAAAATATATAGGGTGACAACCTTGAGCAGAACTTCCATCTTGATGAAATAGTACACGTCGATAGCGGACATATTGGATTCACAGAATCATTTAACATATGTTGGTCTTCTTTGACTTAGGCTGAACACGTGGCTACACGCCATATTAATCGGTCGCCATTGTAATCAAGAATACGTCGCTAAACGTTTCGTCAGAAACAGTTACTAAAACTAATTTCATGACGATTGTGGGTACAGGTTGGTTTGTTTTGGGGTGGGCGGTCGTCTATATTTTCTTTGTTTCTGACGGAAATGTAATGATCTGTCAATGTTCTGACGATGTTATGATCTTTTGTGAAGCTTTTCGCCTTGGATTAATTTAACATAGCTCAAAATACATTCGAACAAGGAGCAATAGCATCTCAGCGGGAAAAAAAATAGCTGCACATGCCTTCGAGTCTTGTGCGTATTTTCCCCTTCCCGCTTATATCCTGCATGGGCAGCATAATGTGATATTATTTACCTAAACACAACCAAACGACGACTCCTACATAGACCAAGGAATTAAAGTGTAGCAACAGAATGACAGCAGCAAGCAAAGCAATCAGCGGTAGAAAGGGCATAAGTGGTACCTGTATCAACAAAAAGTCCAGAATATTTGGGTTATTTTTATTTCAAAACTCAAAGTAGTGCGCATTCGCCAATTCGAAATTAATAGTACGTTTAACCATTTAGTTTGTTATGACCAACAAAATCACAGGAATTAAAAACTTGGAAATGCTGAAAATGTTGCGCTAATCGAATAAATAACTGATTTAGAGTGCGACCGGTGCTCAGGGTGTTCAGGGGGCGCAGGTTCAGGTCCCGCTTACGACAATTTTTTTATTGAACAACATCAACGTAAAATGATTATATCTGTCTTTGAATTCATCAAAATATCGCAAACGGCCCATCAGGGAGACACAATTTGCTTTAAAAAAGTTGTACATAAGGAAGACAAGATATATTAGGGAGACATGTTAATGCTTTCCTGTCAGATGGATGCACCAAAATTCCAACAGACACCATTGCTAAACGCCCATACTTCAAAATTGTTTTACAAATACTAAGAACTCTCACATGTATTTAAGTTGCACAGAAAAATAATGATCAACATGTCATCTTTCATTTTCTTTTCATTTTTTGGTGGGTTGACCATTGCCTTTTCGAGAAATTAGCGCCACTTTCGAGCACAATTGCATCAAAAATGCTCAGAATTGAAAGCCCTAAGTCCGGGCTAGAGGTTCATTGCCATCTCTTCAATTCCAAAATGTTATGGCTCTCAAAACTCTCTAATATAGAATATTTTGAGGGAATAAATTTTTATTCATGAGCTTGGTGGAGGGGTTGAGGCCTATTAACAGGTGTGCACCCAAATGTTCGGTTGATGGATAGGCCGGTTATTTAATATGAGAAAAGGCTTGCAGATATGGATTTTTTCCCATGGCTTCTCTGTATAACAACATGGTAAAATAAAGAATCGCTTCTGTTCGTGTATGTTTCAATATGCCGAAGGTAAATGGCTTTTTGTTACTAAATTATTTAATTTTTTTGAAATCTTACTTTGAATGGGAGGTCATCGGTGTATTGCGGTAGAAGTAACAGTGGACAGCACGAGACGAGAGTTAAAGCGCTGCTTACGACTATCCCGAGTATTAGACCTGGGTCATGGACTCGCAACAAGTCGTCCATTCTGAAGGTCAACAAGGCTACGAGAAGGAACTCAAAGATGAGGTGAAAGCAGAGTGAAAGAATCACGGATCTGGTTGTATGTTCTCTGATCCATCGAAGAATGATGGCACAGCCCTTGTGAATCCAAGATGGACGCTTTGGTAGCTCGTTTGTAGCGTTGGTTTCAGCAGTGTCAGTTTCTGGCTTAGGTTTAAGCAATCCATTCAAATCTGATGTAGTATTCTTGCGTCCATGAGCCTCGTTGGCACCCTCCTTGAAATCAGCCTTGTCTACGCCGCCCAATTCTACGTACCCGTCACTCCGGTTAGGGGGTCTGTAACGCAAGATAGTCACCGCAAATATTATAATGACGGTCTCAAGTGTATATAGCATGGAGTTGGTCTGTATTAAAATCTTGATGTCAATTAATACGGCAAAAACAACACAAATACAAGTGCCAAGAAGGTTAGCTAGCAAGGGAGTCTTAGTTCTCTCGTTGGTCCTGGAGAGCACAGAAGGAAGAAGTCCATCTCTTGACATGGGATATATGAAACGAGTCATAGCGTAGGATAGGTTTAGAGCACCTCCCGTTATGCTGCATAACGCACCTACTGCTACGATGTACTTCATCCAACGTAGACCATCAAGATCATTAAACGCTGCCTCAAACGGGGTTTTAAGATCGATGTTGCTGTATTCTGTTAATACAGTGACTGAGAGGACTCCAGTCATGTAGACTAAGATACTGATTCCAAGAGCAGACACAAGTCCTATCAAGAGATCCTTGGATTGGTCTTTTGCTTCCTCAGCTGCTAGGGCGATAGCTTCGATCCCAGCATAACCTGCGTAAGCAAGGATTGCACTTCCTACAATATCATCAAATCCAACTCCCCTTGGTGCAAACCCATGCTCTGTTACGAGGGAGAAATCTGCATGAATCATGGCCACAATGAAAACCAACATCAGAGTCAGTAAAGTGGTTATCATGAATAAATTGTTAGCTTTGGAGAATACATTGGTACCTAAAGAAATAATACCACCAGACACAAGGATCAGCAATCCAGCGATAAAATCGGGATGGGTACCAAGAAGAGGTGCATTCCATTCCTGACCTCCAAGGACAAACTGGACGGTAGCATTTCCAATGGAGCCGCCTAAAGCATCGTCTAAATAGGCGCTCCATACCTGTCCTATGAAAGCAAGCGCAACGATTCGTGCTGCCATACCACTCCACCCAGTTAAGAACGCTATCATCTCTCCAAGTGTCGCATAGGCGTACAGGTAAGACGCTCCCGTTCCAGGTAGCTGTAAGGCACACTCTATATAACACAGGCCAGACAGTGAAGCCAACATACCCGAGAGGAAGAAAACCAATAGAGCAGCCGGACCAGCCACTACTCCAGAAACTTGTCCCGGTAAAAGAAAACTACCAGATCCTATCATACTTCCGACACCAAGTAGAGTCAGGTCGACTACACCAAGGCATCGATGTAGAGGTGTTGGGATTGCATCCCTCTGCACAGGTTTTCTTCGAGTTGAGGAGCTGAACATTTCTCTGAAGCACTGGACAAGACCCATAGTTGATGGACAGTATACCACGTCGGTTTCGAGCAATTAACCTGTTGTCAAAAAAATAACAGTGAATTTGAACATTATCGATATTTATAAATAACAACAAGACGATAAGCCTATAGCTGCTCCCACACACAATTCTATTCAGTTGAATCAGAAAAGAAGTATAACAATTCCAGTCCTGAGCCAAGATTACCTTTGATGATGAACCCTTTGTTTTTATTGGAACCCGATGCGGTATTTTGCTTTTATATCGTTCACTGTTTTTGACTAACTCTTGTCAGTTCTATTTGCTCCGTACGCGTAGTGACCGTCTTTTTCATTATAATTACGTACCTTGATTGCTTGGTTAGTTTATGTGGTTTATTGCCCAATTGACAGATGCCTGCAACGTAATATCATTCACAGAAAATTGAGAACAGATCTCAATTGGGTAAAAAGAGTTAGATAAATTGTATGGCTTGTTGCATGCCAATTGTCATTTGGCGTATGTTTTTATTATCTTCCATGCCAATGCATGTGCGTTTTTGCCTGTGTTTTAATTTATTTCTGCGTGTGAACCGCATACAGGTTCACCAAAAGAGCTCCAATTGAAGGGAGCCAAAAAATAGTTACATGTAACTGAATATTTACTAAATACCATAAAAATCCATCAGAAACATAAAGGCGTCGAAAAGCTCACTATATTGCCCGACGATATATCCAAATAACTAATAAACCTCGACAGTGGCGCTGTACATGCCTATTGATGGGCCCTTCTCAAGTTCACTTTAAAGCCCCCGAGCTTTCACGTTTATTTGGCGGACAGGACCAGGCCTATTGAAGTTTCCAACGCTTCAATAGTTCTCCAAAGAATAAACACAAGTTCACACACTGTTCAATCGATCGGCCCTCATTTCTTACAGTTTATGAGAAGCTCCTCTTCTATCCCAATAGCTCCAAAACGCACAAAAATATCCATAAACTCAAGCTAAAAAGATGTCAAAAGGTGTCAAAAAGGTTGAACAAACTTTAGTCCTCCGCACTCCCCTTAATTGTACAAGCTCCTGTGGTACGATGACCTCTCTTTCAAACAAAACTTAATTATTAAACAACAATATACTGGTATGTTTGTTTTGCTAACAACAATAAACAACATGGCTAACATGCGTAACTTCTGGGCTTAACTTTTACAATGCAGGTTCACAAACAAGTCTGCAAAAACTCTTAAACAACATTTCCTCCTAAGATTCAGAACTTACTTACAATATCCTGGTGATAACCTTTCATCTAGACCAATGGCAAATCTGCATGAAACATACATTGTCCATCTTACTCTTCTGACATAAGTCGAAGTCGAATTTGTCTGGCTTTTTTTACAAATCCAAACTCAATACAAAATGTACATGTAGTTACATTAGGCAAAAAAAAAAGTCTCCGGTTTCTGGTATGGAGCTTGCCCAAAAAGTGGTGCGGCGACGCGGCTTTTTTTTTTTGATGACTGCAAATGGTTGATGACTGCAAATGGTGCCCGACTAAACTTAGTTCAAATATTATGGGAGACCAGAGAGGCCACATAAAGCTTATTCTCGACCATAGCCAATCTAAAAACACGTTAAAATTGTGCGGAAGCAGGATTCCAGTCAATCCAGTGAGTTTGGCGGTTTTGAGTAATCATCTTTCATTGAAAAAAAACCTTTTTCATTTTGCCGACGCGCATGGCTACGGCGACGCGCGCGCATACCAGAAACCGGAGACTTTTGTGTTTGGCCTTATACACTGTACTGGTAACCACCAAGGGCGGATCCAGAACACAATTTTGGGGGGGGCCAAAAAAAAATTTGGTCCCCCCAAAAAGTGGGTCTAAAAAATTACGGCGTGGGGTTCGGGGCCCGCTAGGGCCCCGAAAAATTTTTGGATTCTAGATGCTCTGTGGTGCGATCTGAGGCAATTTCTGACCACTTTAACCAATTTTTTTTGAGGAAAAGATGGTGGTGTACTCAATGCCTGCCTTTATTGCGATGTCACATTAAAAAAAAAAAAATGGTTTCGTTTTGGGGGGGGCCATGGCCCCCTTTGGCCCCCCCCTGGATCCGCCCTTGGTAACCACTGAACATATTCTGAGAGAATAGTTAATTTTGACATCATCTGCATTTCACAGGCTAACAAAGATACAAAAAAAGTGACAACTGATTATTACAAAAGGAGTCCTAAAATTCTCTGCATTTCTATTAAACTACAGGGAACTGAAATTGAATACACTTAATCCAATAAACCAAATTTTGATACTCAACCTACTTAATTGCAACTTGCAATATATAGGCTACAACTATGAGTCTGAAACATTCACTTCCACAATCCCTAAAAAAGAACTAACCTAAATTGCATGTATATGCATTTGCATAACCTCCATTTGTACTAGACACTGTATAACTTAACACTGTAAGAATATCACACTAAAGGAAAATTGCTCATGGTCGAGAATTACATGTACTGGACAAATCCATGCGTATTCTGTGTAGTAAGCACAATTAATACCGAATCTTTAGTTTACACTTGTTCAAACTGAAATCCCATGAAGAATCGGCTTATTTGTGTACATTGTATACTAGCAAACAATTCCACTGTACAATTAATCCTGTTAGAAGTACATGTAGATTCAAATACTTTAACAGTCCACATCTCATACTCAACTTGTACATTTTATGGCAATGTTGCAAGAAATAAATACACTTGACATCTGGCAAAACTGAGCTTCCGAATTATTAGACTGGTCACCTGAACAATCTTTAGCTTTAACCTCACACATACTCCCAACTGTTTTGAGTCAAATTGTATAACCAATGTATTGAATCTCAATATGAACACTCATTAAGGCCCAAAAAAACAGTTCCGGAATTGATGCGGCGACGCGGCTTTATTTTTTTTTGGTGGCTTTTTTGTTTTCAAGCTTGAATTGTACAGACAAGGTGGGTACCATTTTGCTTTTGTGTGTCCTCATTATACATTGGTGTCCTCCATAATTTGCCTTGGTGCCCTTTATCATTTGCCTTGGTGCAATTTCCCCATTCGTTGGTGCTCCTGTTGTAGCTTCCGTGTTAATTTGAAAGAAAAAAAAGGTTGACGCGCATGGTTAAAATCGACGCGCGCGCTGACCAGAGACCGATTACTTTTTTTCGGCCTAACATTCAGTTTCTAACTTACATATTTCAAATCAATCAATACAAGAGCCTTGTTCTCAATTAATGGCTTGTGATCATACAAACATTTTTACATGTGTAAAAGCTGAGCACAAAAAGTATACTTAACACAATGATTCATCTTTATATTACAAATAAGCTGAAAGTGTCACTGACTAAAGAGTTTTTTGAAGTTCCACTCCAAGTATTGCTCAAGGGTCTGCTTCCAAAATCAAGCACAACTTGGTGATCGGCCTCCTGTAGACATTCATTCTGGTCTTCACCTCCACGCTTCGAACGAATCCATCCTTGTCTGGCATAGTGCGTACCACTCTCCCAAGCGGCCAGAGATGCCTTGGCACAGATGTATCCACCACCAACACTAGATCTCCAGCACCGACGTTAGGCTGGGGATGCACCCACCTCTGTCTCTCCTGTAGCTGAGGTAAGTACTCCTTTACCCATCTGCGCCAAATCACATCAGATAGGTAGTGGACTTGTCGCCATCTGCGCCGAGCGTAGACGTCGGTCTCCTGGGTGACTACTGGGGGTAGTTGGGGGGAATGGGGGGGTAGACTTCAGCCGAAGAAAATGATGTGGGGTCAATGCTTCCAGGTCATTCACGTAATCAGATACCCTGGTCAAGGGTCTGCTGTTGATGATACTCTCTACCTCGCACAGTAGCACCCTGGTTTAAGACCCAGACATCGGGTCCAATTTTTTTTTTAATTTTAGTAAAAAAAACCTTCGATTGGAGTCTGAAAATCAAGTTTTTAGTATAAAAAAAACTATTTTCAAATTTAATGCACTGTTTTAGAGATATAACAATTGTTATGTACATTGATGTGTGAGTTAAATGAAATAAAGGATTCATATCTTGTTTAAATATAATGTGTTTGCCAAAGCATATAAAGGCTCCTTTTCAATTTTAATATTGCTTTTAATATTACCCATCTCATACCCATTCGAATGGTGTATAGTATGATATGGACCAATTATTGGATGACACTGAAACAAAACATTGAAAAAATCGACTAAAATGGAACAAAATGTAATATTTTCATACATTTACGATCGCACATTTTGAAGAGTACCTTCTAGTACCCACCGTAAAATGTCATAAATTGGTAATATTTTGAATGACTAAACATTCCTTGTCAATATTAAATCGCGGAAAATTATCGGAAATGTTCCTTTTGGCCGTACAAGACGAATTTCGGAACGGTGTTTTCGACAGAAATTCGAAAGAAATATCGCCTCGTGCGCGAAATAGCGCCCTCTGTTGATACGCATGGTCAGCAAAATCGAGCAATACTTCCCAGTTAGTTTGTACGTCCGCATCGCGTCGTGTTTGCATACAGAGAGGAGACTTTTGCGACGAAAGCGAAGTATTTCGTGCATTTACAATAAAGTACGCATATTTACTATCGATTGCATGGATTGTAGGGTAGGTTATTTAAGAAAATTTCGCAAAAACAATGACAGAGAAACGTGGTTTTCGATTTTTTTTTCTTGGACAATCGACACGGGTTGCAATTTATTTTTCGGGCAAAGGAAAACACAGGGGAAAAGTAAAGACCATCTCAGCCAACCAGACGTGTTTTCCCGACCCAGGGAAACCCGATATTCAAGGACTCTGCAACCAACTCCAGACCGGAGCTGTCATTGTGATTTAAACTAGACTTCTTCAGGATTAATTGAAAATAGAGATCTTAATATTTCTTAGAATATTTTTGTTGACATCGACGGCCGTCCATTCCTTTTTGTCCTGATGGAATGTGTACCGGAAAGAGGTCAAGACAGAGCAAAACTTTCACAGATCGTGTCGAATATGTCGATAATTCTCCGTCTGGGTTCATCTACAGAATTTGTCACGCTTTGCAAAGACACAAGCAGGATGCTCCTAGAGAAGTTTCCAAGCTTCAGATTTACGTGCTCAGTGCACCAGCTTCTCGCACATAGTGCGAGTTGGTCGCAGCGAACAAAAGCCATGGCCTGGGAACACTTTCCGAAGAGGCGCTTGAAAATAACACACACAAAAACATTCGGAAGTACAGGGAACAGCTATCCAGGAAAACCACACAAGAGGACAATCTAAGTGACGTATTTCATCGTCTTTGGTTAAAAGCAGATCCAGTACTCCGCAAGTTTCCTGTCCAAAGAGTGAACACCGAAGATGACCTGTTTAATTTCTCCTTCAATAAGTCACAAATAGTACCAGCAGGTATTCCATTCAATTCACGAAGATTGAATCAATCTATTACTCAACAACTGATTACTACATTCAGCATTTTATTATGAAAGGCTTTTTAAGGACGGTAGAAATATCTTGGGGAAAATTGATTACTATTTAAGTAGTATTTTGGGTCACAAACCAACACATAATGTAAAATAATACCACAAAATCACTACCTTAGAACCGTAAATTTGCAACCTGGTATAATCTTTATCTCATCCAGTAAAACAAAAATTAACGAGAAAAAAAATGTGTCAATACCGCGCCGGTAATAAGCCGTATGGACGTGTAAAAAAATATGAATGCAGAAATTGTCGCAAGAGGGGGCTATGCATAAGTAGCGCCCTCTTTAGAATTTTGCTCTGGATTTTTGACAAAATTGGCGAGTTACGTTTTACATAATTTCCAACCTAGTTTTCTTAACCCAGAGATGGCTTTTGAACATGCTTCGTGTGTTTTATATGAATTTTGACCGTTTATTATCCTTAAATGTACTGATGTCTGGGTCACATATATTTTTAAACTTCTGTGGAGTGTGCAAGCTCTCATCAGTCAATGTCTGCTGCTTCATCAGGGAGAAAAGCAGTTTTCTCACAGTTCTTATCTGCCTTTCTTATACACCACCGTGATGGGACCGTCCAGGTGGATTGAAGGTCCACTGAATGTTCCTCTGCAGCAATGCGTTGTTCAGTTGAGCCTGGTTCCACTTGTTGATTTCTGTTCTAAGTTCTATTTCAGCACCCACAAGATTGGTGCCATTGTCCGATCTCATCTAGGTCACATTTCCCCGGCGAGCAATGAATCGCCGCATAGCGTCAACGCATGAGTCCGTGTCTAGGGAGTCAGCCTTCTCGATGTGCACAGCTCGTGAAGCTAGACAGGTGAAAATCACACCATACCGCTTTAAATAGCACACTGCGACCTCTTTGCACCTCTAGTGGCCCAAAGTAGTCCATTCCTACTTTGGTGAAGGGGGGGCTCATCAGTTTTGATCCTGTCTGCTGGGAGGTCAGCCATCTTCTGCTCCATGACTTTGCCTCTATACCGTCTGCACATCACACATTTGCCAATTTTTTTTTTGATTGCGGAGTTGGCACCAGATATCCAATATTTCTGTTGAAGACTTGCAAGAACATGGTTCCTTCCACTATGTCCGGATGTCTCATAAATGCGTGTTTTGATCAAGGTTGACACGTGGGACGGATGATGGGGTGTTTAGCATCAACTGGCAGTGAGGCCCTGCTCAATCTTCCTCCAACTCTTAACAGCTCACCATTTATGACTCGGTCAACTCTGTGGATGGAACTGGTTTTCTTCACTCCTTTGATCTTTTGTCTGCTCCCTCCATCATCTTCTGTACTCTGGGCAAGGGCTCTGATCTCATCTGCATATGCTTGGCTTTGAACATCCTGCAACATTTTTTTTCTCTGCTGCTTGTAGTTCTTCCAGAGTTAGTACACCCTGCAGAGTTTGTTCAGCTTTCTGGGACTCGGGCTGGCCTTTCAACCATCTTCTGAATCTTAGCAACCAGCAAACTGCCTTCTTCAGTCGGACCCAGTCTGAGTAGTACTCGATTTTTCGATCGATGCCCTGTTTCTCCATCTCACTTGGCTTGATGGTGCAGGCAAGAACATTCTTCTTAACCTCCAAGTCTTCTGCCACTTCAACTGCACCGAGCTCTGTTGTTGTGGGCCACTCATCTTCTGGCTGAAGTAAGAACCCTGGGCCATTCTTCCAGTCATCCATCTGAAGGAATTGCTCAACTCTCCTTCCCCTTGAACACACATCAGCAGGATTGAGTGCTGATTCGATGTGACGCCACTGCGTTGGACATGAGCCGTCAAGGATAATTGCCAACCTTTTGGCGACGAATGTCTTAAATCTGCTTGTTCTACTGTTGATATATCGTAGCACAGACATGCTATTGGTCCAGAAGAAGGTGTCATCTACTTCGATCTCCAGATCCTTCCTGATCATATGGTCAACTCTCACTGCTACTGTCGCTGCTGTTAGCTCCATTCTTGGAATTGTCACCTGCTTGAGTGGGGCGACCCGTGATTTACTCATCAGGAATGAACACTTGACTTCGCCTCCATCATTCACCAATCTCAGGAAAGATATGGTGCCATAGCACAGCTCACTGGCATCAGCAAAGTGGTGCAAGGTGACTGACTTTGGTTCTTCAAGTCCATCTGGCTTCAGGCATCTTGCCATCTTGAACTCCGCCAGTCTTGGGAGTTCCAACTGCCAATTCTGCCATTTCTTACTCAGATCTGGTGGAATTTCTTCATCCCATCCTAACTTCATCCGACATGCGGCTTGCAGTAATTGCTTGGCTGGAAGCACAACTGCTGAGACACATCCCAAGGGGTCGAAGACAGAGCTGACGGTAGATAAAATACCTCTTCTTGTCGGTGGTCTATCTCTCATTTCAATTTTGTATCCAAACTCATCATCTTCAATGGACCACATCATGCCAAGCGCTCTCTCAACGGGCAACTTCTCACCATCGATGTTCAAGTCTTTCCAGTTTCTGCCTCTTTCATCTTTAGGGATGATCTCTTGGACTTCCTTTTTGTTGCTCACCCACTTTGTGAGGTGGAATCCTCCCTTGCTGCATGTTTCAGTCAAACCTTTGACAAGCTGGACTGCCTTTGACACTGTCGGGGTTGAGCACAAACAATCATCGACATAGAAATTGCGATGGATGATGTGCGCAATTTCTTCACTTCCTGCATGATCACCTGCTGTCTTCTTCAAAGCGTAGTTCGCACATGAAGGAGAAGAGACCGCACCAAAGACATGTACTTTCATGCGGTACTCTGTCAAGGGTTTCTTGATGTCATCATTGTCCCACCATAACAATCTCAGCAGATCTCTGTCGTCTCTGGGCACCAAGTCTTGGGAAAACATGCCTTCAATGTCAGACATGAGGGCAACCTGATCCTGCCTGAACCTAGTCAACACACCAATTAGGCTGTTTGTCAGATCCGGCCCCTGTAACAACTGTTTATTAAGGGAGACACCTCTGTAGTCGGCTGTGCAGTCATACACCACCCTTATCTTGTTTTTCTGTGGATGCATGACACCATGATGAGGAAGATACCATAATCTGCCGTCATCCCTTCTTGCCTCTCCATCCGGAACTTTCTCCATGTAACCCTTGCTAAGCATGGACTCCATGTAGCCTGTATATTCCTTCTGGAATTCTGGTTGTCTCTGGAACTTTGCAGATGGGCCGTTCTCTGTTCTGCTTGTGGTCTGTTGTTCGGCATTCTAACTTCTGTCTGCTTCAGTGGGAGTGCAATCTCGAAATGGTCGCCAACCATTCTGATGGAGTTCTCCACCTTCTGGGTGAAGAGTAAATCCTGTCTGGACTTCTCTGGCTTGTCTTCTATGATCCTCTCATTGAAGTCATGATTAAAAGCTTCTCCAGCTGATCATCAATGTCTGCTTTGGCTTTCACTGTTACTTTATGGGAGATGATTCTCTGTTGACCTTGATTTCTCTTTGACCCATAAACCTGCCAACCAAGGACTGATCGGCAAGCAAAGGGGCCACCGTCCTTGCTGTTTATGATTTCAAGTGGTTCCATCGCCTTGGGGACATTGTTTCCAATCAACAGCCCCACCTCTGCATCAACATTTGGCAGCTCAACTCTGTCCAAGTACTGCCATTCCTTCAAGTCATCTTTGGTGAGGATGTCTTCTCTGACTACCGGGATTTGTGTCTGGGTGTAGACTTCTGGAAGACTGATGACTGTTTGGCTCTTTAGGTCCATTATCTCAAGATCCGACAACACACGACCCTTCACCACCTTCTCGTCCGTCAAAGTTTGTACTTGTATGTTGACTGCCTTTCCTTTCTCACCGAGCTTGGTCACTACTGCATCAGCACAGAAGACTGCATTACTGCCGGAGTCCAAGAATGCATAGATTTTGGTCTGCATTCCTGTCATTCTTGACCTCAGGATGACTGGAACCACCCCTGGGAGTGATTCAGTGGGACACACATTGACGGAGTTTGTTAAACCGCATTTAACATTGTCCTTTACCTCCGTCCATTCATTAAGCCGAGTTTGCTTTCCATCGACGGCACTGACTGGTGTAGCATCAGGCTGCTGGGGGCTTTTCCATTCTCTGTGTAGCACTGTAGGATGCCACCGTCGACAAATACTGCACTTCTGTCTTTTCTTACAGTGTCTTGCAAGATGTAATGATGCACGCATGCACCCAAAGCAAAGCCCCTTGGCACGGCAGAACTCAATTCTCTCTTCATGTGGCTTGCTGGCCAGCACTGCACAGTTTTCTATGCAATGGCTAGCATCACTGCAATAAATGCAGGATCCACTGCTTCCAGTTTGTTGTGATTCACCACTCACAGTTGTGCTGAAACTGGTCTTGGCTGGAAACTTTGTTGCTCTTGGGCTTGGCTTACTGTTTCCTTTTGCCCGGTCGATTGCCTTGGTTATGTCTCCATAGATTGGGTTGCATGCGATGCGTGCCTGTTTATTAACGAAGGTGACGACATCATCAAACACAACATTTTCTTTTCTTCTCTTCTTGGATATCATCAGCCTTACTCCTCCACCTATCTCTCAGCTTGTATGGCAACTTTGCTGTGATCATCCGAATGTTCTGTGAATGATTGATCTCCTGCTCCATGCTGAGATCCTTGGCTAAGTTGTACAGCTCTGTGATGAACACTGAATAGCGATGGAGCTCATCTTTATCCTCTGGCTTGATGTCCGGCCAGCCAACTGCCTTTGCCACCATGTTGTCAATGATACGATGCTTGTCGCCGAATTTCTTCTTCAGCAGAAGTTCGGCTTTGGCGAGAGCGTCTGCCGAGTCTTCACCATACATGCAGCTTTTTACAATGGCAATCGCTTCGCCCCTGGTGTACTGCTCCAAAAAGTACAGTTTGTCCTTGTCATTGTTGTTCTTGGATTCAATGGTGTGCTCGAAGGCCCTCACAAATGCATGGTAATCAAGCGGGTTTCCACTGAATGGCTGTATCTGTCTTTGTGGGAGGGATGATCTCATGTGACACTCAACCAACATCTTCATCAGCTGGTTTTGCTGTTTCATTGATTCCCCCTGTTGCTGAAGAAAGGATGTTAAGGCACCGGTGTCGGTAACCATGGGTCAACCGTGGACAACATGACTTGATCCTTAACCAGTTCATCCATTCTGGCAATTTATGCAGGGTATATAGGCCTACTCTGTACTCAGTTCTATTCTAAGTTCTGTGTATACTTGTAACTCAGTCTATGGAACAGTATTCCTCCCGTAAACTGGACAGTTTAGTTTTTTCAACTAATGTGCGTGCCTATTGATGGGCCCTTCTAAAGTTCACTTTAAAGCCCCAAGTTTTCACGTTTATTTGGCAGACAGGACCAGGCCTATTAAAGTTTCCAACGCTTCAATCGTTATCCAAAGAATAAACACAAGTTCACACACTGTTCAATTCAAGGCCCTCGATCAGTTCTATTTTCTTCAATATTGCCTTTAAATGCCTACTGTGTTATTCTTACAGTTCATGAGAAGCTTCTCTTATATCCCAATAGCTCCAAAACGCACAAAAATATCCATAAACTCAAGCCAAAAAGATGCCAAAAGGTGTCAAAAAGGTTGAAAAAACTTTAGTCCTTCGCTCTCCTATCATTTGTTATAACGACAACAAATCTTTACGTCAACAGAGGGCTCTATAACTGTTTCAACGATATATCCAAATAGCTAATAAACCTCGACAGTGGCGCCATGGGCTGCACCGTTTACGATATAGCCAGGGGCGGTGGAACCGGGGGGGGGGGGGTCACTTCCCCTCAGATTTAGCCAAGTGCTGACTAAAATTTGCCCTTTCGAGCATAAATGTGCCCCCTCGCGATGAAAACAAAACTGGCCCTAAAATTTCGGATAATTTGTTTTCAGTAACCATTTTCCAAAATGATATAAAGATTTCTGATATGAAGGAGGAACATGAAAACCAAGCCACAAATCCCTTACCATGCGCCCTGAAAATGGGCATATAATGCGTAGTTTGCATAATGGTACCCCCCTCCCCCACTAGTTGATTTCACAGAGGCCAAGTGTCCGGTGCAAAAAAACGTTTCGACATTTCAGCACGGATGAAGCAAGAGCCCCTTTTTGGTGATCCCCCCCCCCCTCCCAAGTTTGAAAACCGTTCCGCCGCCGATGCATATATCCATTGTTTACTACCATACGGCCACAATACGGCAGTTATGAATAAACGTTTGGTACCAGTGTATCATAATCTGCCTAGGGTCCATCCACGTCATGATCAAGTCGCCTTTGCACATTATGTTTTTTGAAGGATATTTTCATGCCGATAACTAGAATCATGTCCGTTCATGAATTTAATGTGTTCCAGATTATAAACTTCATAATCTAAAGTTAGAACCAAAAATAATGATGACTATATGTTCATAAGTAATTAATTAAGAACGAAATGATAGTCCATATGTATCAGTATATACAGCGAGAATGCATCGGTAGCTATACAGATAGTACGTCATAGTTTGTTATACATTGCCCATCTCTTAATGTTGCCAAATTTATTAAGAAAAGAATTGTGATATTCTCATCAATCGCTCTTTAAATAAGTAATTAATTAGTTCAAAATTAAAATATGAAAAAATAGCAAGAATTCCCATGATTACGTCATTCACGTCATTTCAAAATGAGTATGTTGATCAAGTACGTCCTAAGTCACTTGGCAAATGGATTCAAAGTTCTATTATATATGTCGTTATGACCTCAACTTTAAAATGGTGTCACGCAAAAAATGATGAATTTATAATAATATGTTTTCATAGACACCCTTCACATGGGGTTTGTGTCTGTGTTTGCATTGAGGCAGCACAGGGTCGCTTTTGGATATTATCCAAATTAAATCTCAACAGTCCAGACTGGGGTATAGTCTTCATATCAGGTGGATGATAGACAGGAGTGACTCAGATTCCTCTAGCAGCTATAACCCTGACATATACTTCTCTTCATGGTAGAAACATAACAAATTCGGCCCCTCTACGCATAAACCATCTATGCATAAACACATACTTTTTAATGATCAGAATGAAAAGATACGAAAGCCCATTAGCGCCACTGCAAGTATATATGTTACAGATTATGTAATTCGTTATTACGGATTATTAATTCGTTGTTACGGGTTATTAATTCGTTATTACGGATTTGTTTTTCGTTATTACGGATTATTAATTCGTTATTACGGATTAAGTCTGATGTTCTCAAACGTGGAGAGCACGTGATCAGGGGACTATGTATATAGCGCCGCTAGGCGGCGCTATCTTTGCTTACAACATTTGCTTTACACCGGCACCGAATGAAACTCTCACACTCCTGTGCCATACTTGCCGAGTATACTAACGTATGAGTAATTCGTAATAACGAATTAATAATCCGTCATAACGAATTAAATAATCTGTAATAACGAATTAATAATCCGTAATAACGAATTAAATAATCCGTAATAATGAATTAAATAATCCGTAATAACGAATTAATAATCCGTAATAACGAATTAAATAATCCGTAATAACGAATTAGTAATCCGTAATAACGAATTAAATAATCCGTAATAACGAATTAATAATCCGTAATAACGAATTAAATAGTCCGCAACATATATACTTGCAGTGGCGCTTATGGGCTTTCTTAAAAAGACGACAAGGCGTTGACCAATTTTGTTATTACAGATTAAGTCTGATGTTCTCACACGTGGAGAGCACGTGATCAGGGAACTATGTATATCTTTGCATACAACGTTTGCTTCACACCGGCACCGAATGAAACGCTCGCACTCCTGTGCCATACTTGCCGAGTATAAATGATTCAGAACGTATGAGTAAATCGTAATAACGAATTAACAATCCGTAATAACGAATTACATAATCCGTAATAACGAATTAAATAATCCGTAATAACGAATTAATAATTCGTTTATACGAATTAGTAATCCGTAATAACGGATTAATAATCCGTAATTACGAATTTATAATCCGTAATAACGAATTAAATAATCCGTAATAACAAATTAATAATCCGTAATAACGAATTAATAATCTGTAATAACGAATTAGTAATCCGCTATAACGAATTAAATAATCCGTATTAACGAATTAATAATCCTTTATAACGAATTAGTAATCCGAAATAACGAATTAAATAATCCATAATAACGAATTAATAATCCGTTATAACGAATTAAATAATCCGCAACATATATACTTGCAGTGGCGCTAATGGGCTTTCGTAAAAAGACGACAAGGCGTTGACAAATTTTGATCGACATACAGATTTTTGGTTGTCATCGATTTGTCTACGCCTTCGGGACGTCAACTGGAAAAATTACTACTAAAGGTTTTAGTAAGAACTTTAGTAAAAAAAAGATGCTTAGGCCTATATGTTATGATCGGTCGGTTGTGCAGCTATGTGGTAGAGACGCCTCTCTTCATGGGTGATATAGCTTGGGCGCATGCGCAAAATATGGCTGCTAGCTGTAAATTGAACTTATTTTTTTGCGCGCCTGTGAAGGTCAATTTTTCCTAAATTGTTTCGTTTAAAAATTGTTTTATAAAAGTGCGCATGGAGTATTGCATATTAATACAGTAAATGAAATTTTGAGAGCTATTTCACTTATCAGAAGCTTCAAATTCTGGAAAATGTCGATGAGAAATGACCTATTTATAAGGTTTCATTTGTAGTATTCAACTAATCTTTAAAAAAGAATACTAGTCGAATTTACTTCATATTGCAATTTTCCCAACAACAAGGTATACAAATGCATGTGTATAGTCGATGAACTAAGCCTGTAGTCTGGGTTTTAAACTTGCAAGTTCAGCATATTGTGTGAAAGTTAAAAATGTTGAGCTAGTTTGGCTCCCATTCCGAGTGTTCAGTTTGATAATGGGAATGTAATGAATCTTATTTTGTATTTTGTGTAAAAAGTGTACTGTTGTAGTTGGAGAGCCTCTGGATAAGCTACTTTTTATTTTATTTTGATTAGCTTTGTAGGCAATCCTCCAGGCCTGCATATTGTACAGTTAATTATTTCTTTTATCTAAGTTTCTTGTATCTTTGCCCCTTGTAGTTTGTCAGTTTGTCCATTTCCTTTGTTGTGATTTGTAGTTTTACTGTAATGAATTTCAATATTGTACATTTAAATGTTAATTAAATGTTTCCTGAAATGTTATTTGATAAATAAATGCATAACTAAGAGAAATATTTTTAAAATGGATAATATTAACTATTGAACACCATTCCATTTTAAATTACATTTTTTTACAAAATAAACCGATCAATGCATTTCAAGTCATACAATGTAACAATGCGTTACATTTTATGACTTCCAATTTTAGTTATTCTACATTGCCGGGCCGTCGTCTGCTACATAGAAAGTTCGTCGTCTGCAGGAAGCCGTACAACGCATGCGCATCTGCTTTTGGGGGGGGGGGGGGTAATACATGTTGAATCAAGAGATTATCTTTACCCAAATGCCAAGCTGCCCAAAAAATTAAGACACAACTCAACTTTTGCAGACCCACATTCAAGATCACAAAACTGTGCAAAAAAATGTTCGGAAAAAAATAGGATTACACAAATATTTGGGAAGAATTCTAGTCCTTAATTCTTTGAAAATCGCACCTAAGCTTATGAGGAGCACGCAAATAAATGCACTGCACAATTTCAACGTTCTGAATAACTGGTGACACAAAACAACTTAATGCAGAAATTCCTTAAATCGATTAGGTTCAGGAGTGTTTTGTTAAGATGTGGAAAAAAAATAAATAACTTACTGTTGTTTACCCTGAATCACTGCACAACTGAGTCCACCAATATTGAATGATAATTCAGATTTTACAAACTGAACGCAAAAATAGCACCACAAATAGTGGTCACAGAAAACAGTATATAAACATACAAACCTTTCCTATATTAATTTGCTTAAAACTAAAAGTGAAAGAAAACTACTACCGGTACCAACATAAAAGACAAACATTTGATAAGAAACCCAACACCTCCCTAAAATACGGCAGTATTAGGTACAAACTGGCGAAACAGGTAAGTTTAGTAAGGAATGAAAAGGATGTAAACTAGATTCA